AGCCCACACAGTTCTTGTTTTACCATGCACGCTTGAAATCGTGGCGAATCGGCAATCAACCAGAGGCTGGGCAAGATGGCAGCAGTGATGGTGTGATTAGTCAGGATTGGGAGGCCGCAGTTTGCCCCACCAACGCATCTGGATGGCATTATTGGAAACGCAATCGTGGATGGGTGCCGTCGCCGTCTATCAAAGTCGAGGCAGCCAGCAAAGACGGGCTTCTTTCCAACGGTCCTTAGAGATCAGTCGCTCATTGCCTTCATGTGCGACTCTTGCAGACGATGGTGTCTACGAGGTGTTTTGTTTTGCGGCCATGCTGTCCAGATGCTTGCGCAAGGTCCGCCACCGTGGCAGCGCATCCGTGTGATCGCGACCTGTTGAGAACCATCCGTGGGGCCGTGGCAGCTCTCTTGTCGGGCTCCAGATGGCCGCAACATGTGGCAGCTTATTTCCACAGAGCCAAGGTAGTCGTGACTGCGCCTCTCTTCCCCAAGTCTCGCGGGGCGGCAATTCGTCGCAAGCAGCAGCTCGTTTCCCAATCTGGAGACAGGGACCGCACCACCTGGCACTTACCGCTCCCACGGCTGAGAGAACCACACCACGTGACAATGTGTTCTGCCTCCCAGGGTCTTGCTGGTTGGGTCCTTGGGAGCTCCCGCGGGCCTCTCGAGCGAGCACGCTGAGGTCTTCGGCTCAGCTCGAAGGCCTTGCGAGTGTTCGGGGGGATTTTTTGGGGGCCGTGTGGGAAAGACCTCGGCCCGCTCGTCGGGGTTGTCCTGGATGGGGGCGCTCTTGGGCTGGCTCGGGGGTACTTGCGACCTCTCTCAGCCGTCAAGGGTCTTGGAGGCCTCCCGGGACCTCTTCGGGACCGCACGGATGTAAAGGGGCAACACTAGGGCGGAATGGGCTCAGGGAGGTGCATCGACCCCCAATCGCCCGTTCTTCGCCGATAAGGGCGTCTGATAGCCCACCTCGTCGGGGGCCTATCGCCGATCCATCGGCGACATATTCCAGCTCGATGTTTTCTGCCCTGAGCTGGCCCCCCCAAACATTCCCCCTCTGGGGTATTGTGTGGGTTACCTGTTGCGTTTTGTAGTTGCAAGGTGCTAAGAACGGCTTGATACTGTCAGCCTAGCCAGCGCGGGCTGTGTTCAAACTCGCTCGGCTCCTCTAGGACCTGGATGGGGTCGCTTCGGGCTTCGTGGGTGTGGGTCTCTTCGGGCCTCTCAGGAGTCTCTCGGGGCCTTCGCAGGGGCCGTTTGGGTCCTCTTGAGCTCTCGTGGGGCAAGGTGGACTATCTTGGAGACGTCTCAGGATCCTGTGGGGCTGCCGTGGCCGTCTTGCAGGTGTACCTGGTCTTGGGGCCATTGGCATCGTTGGGGCGGAACCCAGGGGATAGTCATGTACGCGAGGGGATGCTGGCACCAGCAGGAGGGGAGCGGCCTTGGTCAAACTACAGACGCCCAATCAAGCAGCAGAGGCGTCATATCATGCCACTACGTCCCAGGGGGCATGGTGTCGGATTTCTGCATCGGGATGGGTTTGCAGTAGACGAGCTCATTGACGAAGGCCATGATGCTCACGCTCAATGTGAAAAGCGTGCTTGCCCGGGTGGCAGCAGGGAGACATTGAGCACTGGAGTAAGAGCTGGCCACACGAAGAAAAGGGGCAGGGGACGACGAGCAGAACGTTTTTGATCATGGCGTGGTGCATCTCAATGGAGGGATCTTACACCAGCGTGAACCAAGGCATACGGAGCTGGATTCTCCTTCATGTGATCGCGCGCAGCGGTGGAGCAGGGCAGCTCGCGTCTCCAATTCGTTGCTTCTGCGACTTACAGTTATGGCATTCCAGGTCTGCGTGCCAATCACTGGGCCTCTGCGTAGCAGCGTATTCGGCAGGGTCAGCATATTCTAGACGTTTCGCGTCACCCTACCAGCTAGGCCCCGGCCCACCGCTTTAGGTTAATTCGTCTTTGCGCGCCCCGCTCTGACTGGACTCGCCGCTGGCGCGCTCGCCTGCGGCGGCTGACAAAGAAAGTAACCCTACCAGCCAATCCAGAAACAATGCCCAGAACAGTTGCCCTGATCAGGGATGTGGAGGAGCATGCATTGGAAAAAAGAGCTGGGTAAGACGTCATATCTCGAGAGGGGGAGGATGGTGGAGGAATCGGATGAGGAGGAGGAGGAAAGTAGGGAGAGGGGGATGGGGAGGAGGGAGAAGGGGGAAGGGTGGAGGAGGAGGAGGAGGAGGAGGAGGAGGAGGAGGGCAGCAGAAGGCCAGAGGCCTCTAGGATGCCTCTCGGAGTGTCTTCGGATGTCTCTCGAGAGCTTTCTTGCAGTCCTCTTGGGGTCGTCTTGAGGGCCTCTTGACGACCCCAGGGGCATCTTGGTGCGTCTTGGGTGCCTCGGGGCAGCCTCTTGGGGGTTTCCGAGGAGCCTCTTGGGGACCTTTCGGGGGTCTCTCGGAGCCTCCTGGGCACCTCTTGGGAGCCTTGGGGGCCATCTTGGGACCATCCTGGAGGAGTTGGATCAAAGAAGGGGGAAGTACTAAATGAGCCTCCCTCCCCCCAGGAGGCCAAAATGGGCCCCACACCTCTGTATATAATCAGTGATGCGTGCCTTCTCGCCGACGCCCTCTTGGACGCTCTAATCGGTCGCGGCCCCTCCCCTCCAGACCCAGGGGGAGGGGGTAGGGGAAGGAATCGAATTACACTTTCCGCCTGCAAGCCGCCTCGGTCACTCCCACCCGTCCTCCAAACACATCAGTGGCATCCGAGCGCCTCAGCATGTTCACCCGTCGTCCTTGGACGGAGAGCTACTCGGAACTAAAGCAGACTCCATATGCGTGACGCTGGGGCGATGTGCGCCATGCGTACCAGGCGCACCACGCGCACCGGGTGACCCCGGCACCCCTGGGGCCCAAGCGTGCCAGGCACGCCTGGTGCGCCAGTTGCGCCACGTGCTCCACGTGCGCCATGTGTGCCGCATGCTCCAGCCGCGCCAGGTGCGCCACGTTCGGGGCACGCGCAGAGTGTGCTATCTGCGCCCGCGCACGTGACAGCACACATCGGGAAGCATGTCGGCCCCCGCCATCCTTCTCGAAAACCACTGCGCAATCGCGGCGGGGTGACCATCATGTGTCTGGTGGGCCTGTACACAGCAGGCAATGTGCCAGCACCCCCGCCGTCCCTGTCCAAAACCAATCGACCGTGATCGCGGGGTGGCCGCGCATGATCCAAATTTCGCTGCTAGATGCACGTCGTTGTCTCGACAGGGATGGTGGCCCTGCGCGCAGCAGCCAATATGCTGGCAGCCCCGCCGCCCCTGTCAAGAACAGTGCTGCCTGCTCGCGGGGCCGACGAGCAAGACTTTGCCCAACAGTGCACGTCGTATTGTTGTTTGAAGGGGATGGTGTGCGTGGGGGGGTGCCCGCATGGGAGGAGGAGGAGGAGGAGGAGGAGGAGGAGGACGAGGAGGAGGAGGAGGAGGAGGAGGAGGAGGGGGAGGAGGAGGAGGAGAGAGGGAGGAGGAGGAAGAGGAGGAGGAGGAGGGAGGGAGGAGGAGGAGGAGGAGGAGGAGGAGGAGGAGGAGGAGACGGAGGTGCGGTTTGGCGGCCAGTCGGCCTGCCGCACGGGCACCCGCGAGGAGGAGGAGGAGGAGGAGGAGGAGGCGGAGGAGGAGGCGGAGGCGGAGGCGGAGGCGGAGGCGGAGGCGGAGGCGGAGGCGGATAGGGAAAGGGGGGGTTACGCAATCTGCTGCGTGCAGCTGGTTTCGGCCCCGCCGGCGGGCCCACTCCTCGATACATGGGCGCCTCCCGGCGCACGTGAGCTGATTCTCAAACGCCCCCTATGCTATTCCCCCCCCTTCGCCCAGCCCGACAGGGGCAGGGCTCGCAAGGGTGTCCGCAGCTCGGTCTGGTTCGGCTGCATCGCCGTCGGCTGCTCTCGGTGTTCGGTTCGGGTGGCCGTCGCGCCGTGGCCGCGTCGCTTCTCGCCCTTCGGGCCGCATGCGGCCGTCTAGTCTTAAGCCGGTCTTGGTTTCGATGTCGGTTCGGTCGGTTTCAGGTTGTGTTGTCGCCATTTGCGGCCTTGGCTCACAGGTGGTCGCCCGATTCGGCCCGAGGTTCCCTCGTCCGGAGAAAGGTTTGGGGTGTTTGGTCGGGCAGCCCACCAGTGAAAGCTTCACCAGGCGGAGCAGAGCACGAGTCGTGCCGCCCATCCGCCAGGCCACGGTGCCCGTATGCAGTTGGCGCAGGGGCTCAGAGCAGCGCCAGCTTGTGAGGGGCACGCTTGCGTTCTTCGTGCTTGGGCTGTCCACAGTCAGAAGGGGAAAAAGCACACAGACACATTCATTTGTCGACTCCAGGGAAAATCTGGGAAAAGATTGGAAGTGTGCGGGGAAGACGAATGACCATACAATATCAGAAAATATGAGGAATCTTGGGACTTGTGTGTAGTTGCTTGTGTGTCACTGGGCCCCTTTACACTGACGTTGTGTGTGGTCGTCCTGGGTATCCTCACGGGGCCTTTGGTCTCCCGGCGAATGGGGCCCGTGCTCTCGGCTTACCGTGTCCAGGCTTCGACCATGCCTGCCCTCCCTCCTCTCTTCCCTCCTCCTCCTCCTCCTCCTCCTCCTCCTCCTCCTTCTCCGTAGCCATTTTGGCTCAAGAAACTGTGTTTCACAGGGGAACACGTGGATACCGCTAGTCCGCGGCCAGTGCCAGGGCGCTTCAGCCCGACAGTTTTGTTCCAGTCTCCAGTCTCTGTGTGCCTCCTGCTGCCCGCAGAGGGGGTGCTCTCGCGACTCGGCCGCGGCCATGGCGCCGCCCAAGGCTGCCAGGGAGAGGCTCGCGCGGGCCAAACGCTGGGTCTGCAGGTATTGCACGCATGCGAAGACTGGCGAACCCTGGCATAACCATCCACATGTTTCTTCTTGTTTTCCGCGTGGTCATGCCAATGGTCCTGTGTACAAGTGTGATCTGCCGCCGCCCACCCCAAGTATGCGTGCTTCTCATCCTGCTGGTGGGGTGGCGCGTGATACGCTCGATGCCAAAGACAGAGCTGGCTGCGCTCCGCAAGCAAATTCAACAGCTGTCTCGGCCCAAGATGCTCGATGGTGACACGCAGTCACCGCCACAGCAGGATGGTGGCCCGAAGGAATCGGACCTCCAGAAGAAGCAGAAGATGCTGGAGGCTGCTGAGGCTGCCATGGCTTCTCTTGAGAACGCTGCGCAGGTCCAGGGAGTTGCTCCGAGCACGGTCCCTGGATATGCTGATGCTGACAAGACTGTACGGGATCTTCGCCAGGAGACCCATGCGGCCAAGCCTATCGGAACCCAGGTTCACGGCATCGGCAAGAAGATTCAGAAGGCGGACCAGCAGATTGCCAAGTTGCAGGCCTCCATTGAACATGAGAAGAAGGCTGTGGCAGACAAGCTTGCTCTTCTCGTGGATCTCAAGCAACAGCTGGAGGCCAAGCAGAAAGCTAGGGTTCAGCTGCAGCTCGAGCAGATGGAACTCCTTCGGCAGCGCACGCCTGAGCAGGGCCCCAGCAGGCAGTGATGCAGCCATCTTCGAGACTTTCTCGGCCACCCTCGAGCATCTCAAGTCCTTCGTGCAGCAGCGGGGGGGGGGGGGAGCAGCTCTCTGAGGCCTGTGTGCAGCATGTGCAGCCATGGCTGGAGCAGGCCAAGAAGCTGCGAGCGGAGCAGCAAACACGGCAGCGTGAGCAGCAGCAGCGGCAGCAACAGCAGCCGCCTCCAGCATATGGCCCTGATGCTCCGACCGTACCTGAGGGCGCTCATGCCAATATGCCTGCACCTGAAGGTATGGATGTGGAGGATTTGCGAACCTCCATATCGGACAATGGTGGCACGCCTGCGGAGACCGAGGACGAGATTCGCGCGCAGGTCAAGCGGCACGTGGAGTCTTTCCAGGCGCTGCTCGCCAAGAAGCCACGGATGATTGCATTGATATGGGGGGATTGCTCTAGCTGTGGTTTGCATCGTGGCGCATACTACTCACACGTTCGACAGTGGCGGCGACGGCCTTGATGAGCTGTTCGCAGATCCAGGCACCAACCAGGATGACTTCTTCGGCCTTCCTCATGAGCCCAGTGGCCCACCTGCTGATCTTTTGCTACCTCAGGGCGGGGGGGGGGGGGGGGGTCGGGATTCAGCCCCGAGAAGTCACGCCCCCCCGCCCGCATGGACTACACCCGCAGGGTCGGGCACATCGGCGACGGCCAGAATTACTGCTCCAGGTGGCCAGGGACGTTTCTCCCCTGAGCTGGAGACATCGTCGGCGTTGAGGTTGCCATCTTCTCCTTCGGCTGCGACGCCTGAGCCCCAACTGGCCCGCTCGTCGGGGTTGGGGGGCAGGGGCGAGGTTGAGGGCGCCTACTTCGTCACAGAGGGCGGCTGCGCCTTCTTCGAGTACGTTGGCCCCCGAAGGCGCGCGCTGCTCAGCTCCGATAGGTGGCATTTGGGGCGCCAGCGGGCACCGACCTTCGGCGGGCGCCGTAGGCGCGCACTGCGCAGCACCCCCAGGCCACGCCTGTAAGGGGGCCAGAGTGTACCGACCTTCGGGGGGGGGGGGGGGGGGGCCGGCGGCTGGAGAGCCACCGCATCTCCTCCCCACCTTGACTTGCGCGCAGCTACCGAAAAACAAGTGTCAGGGCGCGACAGGAGGACGGGCGAGCCTCCTGATCGAACAATTTTTCTCGGCGAGCGAGTTCCTGGTGTGGCTCGGGGATCGACTGTCAGCGGCTTCGCAATGGCCGAGTCAACCGACGGCGTTTACGACGGTGGAGCTGGAACTTCTCATGCGCGAGGGCCACCTTCGACAGTGGTCACGTTCAAAGGGGAGGTGGTGACTGTCAACGTCAGTTATCATGGATCTCTTTTTGAGCACTTGCCAGGCATTGTTCTGGGGGCCAACGTGCTTCTGGTGCAAGAGCGCCACCTTGCTTGACCGACTCCCGCGGGCGCAGTCTCAGGCCAAAGATCTTGGATGGCATGGGATCTGGGCGGCTGCAACACCGAGTGCCAACTCTGATGTCGGCGCGTCTGCAGGTGTGGCTGTGCTTGTGCGCTTTGATATTATGATTACGGCCCCTGACTTGCCTGAGAAGGAGGTTGTTCCAGGTCGCTGTCTTTTTGCGCGTGTTCATTCGGGGGGGGGGGGGGGGGGGGGGTACCTGGTGGATTCACAGTGGGCAGCATTTATCTTGATACTAAAGATGGCATGGGTGCAGCCAACGCGGCGCACCTCTGGCAGACTGTGCAGGCGTTGGCTGAGCTCAGCAGTGCGGGCATAGACTGGATGGTCGGAGCGACTGGAATAACCAACCCTCGGAGATGTTTGCCACGCGATGGGCGGTGGCAGCATCTGCGACCCCCTTCTACCCGATGGTGCCCACCAGCCGCCAGGCCCTCGCTGGAATTGCTTTGGGTTGCTGCAATGTTTCTTCCAATTTGGCAGCAAGAGTCGATTCGGACATCCAGGTGGACGATGGGTCCACCCTTTACCCACGCTGCCCGGTGCATCTTCGCATCACGGCGCAGGACTATCCGCTCTGGCAGTTGGTGCCCAGACTTCCGAAGGAGCTGCCCCAGGAGGCGCCTATCGGCTGCGCTCGATTTCCTCTGGAGTGGGATCAAGGCTTATTTGGGGCTGCTGATGATGCTGCAGGCCTGGTTGCTGGAATGGACGCGCTCATGCATGGCATCGAGAAGGAGCTCACCAACCGATATGATCATGTCGGCCCTGCCGCTAAGCGCTGCGCTGGTCGGGCGGGGGCTCCTGAGTTTGTTTGGGGGCAGGTCGAGCGGCAGCCCCCCCTCAAGCGCACTTATAAGCGACCGATCACCCTGGCGTGGAAGACTGCGCCCAGATGGATGATGCACATTCAGACGGAGCGTGATCGGTTGAAGACACTGGTTTCTCAGCTTCAGATGGCCAGCGCGTCGTGCAGCATCGAGCCTCGGCAATGCTCGGTACTCTTGCAGGCCTTCAGTGAGGTCAGCGGATTTCTGCGCAAGGCAAGGCGAAGCCAGGTTGTTCTTCAGCAGTTGCCATCTGAGGTCCAGAGTTTTCTTGGATCAGGCCTCCAGGTTCTTGTTGACACTCGTTTTCAGGAGCTCATGACTATGATTGGCAAAGAGGCCACCAGACTTCGCAAGGAAGACCAGCGTGATTCTTATCAGGCCTGGATGCGTTTTCAACGGGAGGCTTTCAAGCCGGGGGCGTCGATAGCACACCGTCTGTCCAAGGTGCGGCCGATGGACCAGATTGTTTCTTTCCGGCGGCCAGGTGGAGTGCCACCGCAGGCGCTCGCGAACCAGGACATGCATGCGTGGATGGGGGGTCTGGACTAAGCACGGGTGCTTGCCGCTCGACCCACCAGCTGATGCAGACAGCTGGCCTCCCTTGCCTGGTATCGATGTTGCAACCATCAGGGAGGTGATTCTCGCCTTTCCGGAGAAGACCTCCACGGGCCCAGGCGCACTCCATCCACGTCTGTTGTGGCGCTTGTCTGGTGAGGCTCTAGCGGTGCTGATCGGTTTCTTTAGGCGATGCGAGGAGTTGCTAACTTGGCCTGCAGAAAGGTTCTGGTCGATGATGTGTCGCATCCCGAAGGCTGACGAAGGTCATCGTTTGATTGAAGTAGTGTACATATTCCAGCGCATATGGGGTCGAGCCAGGCGAGAGATTTCCCGATCTCGGGAGGAGCGGAATCGGCGTGATAATGTCTGGGACAATCGGTCCCGCTACACGTCCTCCGACAGTGCGTTCAGCCACAACCTGGAGTCCGAGATTGCGGTGTTGCGGGGGCATTTGAGCGCCACAGTACTGTTGGATCTCACCGCGGCGTTTGACCTGGCACGGCCATCGCAGTTGTTTCGTGAAGGCCTCGTGCTGGGCTACCCACCTCGGATGCTGTATATGTTAATCCAGATGTATAGCCAGCCTAGACGACCCACAGGCGATGGCACCTTTTACTGGCCCGCTGCAGGTGGAACAGAGAATCCTGGCGGGCTGCGCTCGCGCGGTTTGCATGCTGGAGGTGCTGACATTACGAGCCCTGCTTCGGGTTAGTGAGGTACATGGAGCTTTGGTGCCTCATGCTCTGGTTGATGATGTCTCTGTGCAGTATGTTGGCCCTAGCCCTGCAGGTGTACGTGCACTTGAAGTTGCAGTTCGGGCATTTCAAGACGATTCGAGGGTGCTCGGCTCCTGTTTCAACGATAAGAAGTCAGGGGCGGTCGCGGCCACACCCTCGTCACGCAGGCGGACGCGGGGCTCGAAATTCCAGCAGCGGCCTTGGATGGGAAACTTGGGCCACGAGACCATGGGGGCACGGCCGCTACGGTTGCAGGAGAAGGCGCGCTTGCGGGAACTGCAGAGGAGGCGGCGTCGGCCTCGCATCTTTCGGCAGGCCGCTGGACGCAAGAACTCGGTGCTGCGGCGTGCTGGTGCTCAACCAGCTGTTGCTCATGGTGCAGGCGTGTCTGGAATGAATGACGCTGCTCTTGTCGCGGCATGGTCCGCTGCTGCAGCGATGGTTGGGGCGCCGCCGCAGGCGCACAAGACGGCATACTTGTATTGTCAGTGGCAGGTGAGGTACGATCGTTTTTTTGATGCGACGACTGCGCTTCTTTGTCGGCTGCGCTGTTTTATCTGGGGCAACCGAGTCTCGCTCAGCTCGCTGCGCCATGCATGGTCAAGGTTAGCGGCGCGCGCGGGCTCAACAGGGTTCACAGCGGCTGCAGTTCGAGGGCCACTAGGCGCAGCCTGGCTGACGCCAGGCCGCACCGGCAGGGCATTCATTGGCCAACATCACTGGCGGGACGATCAGTTTCATGCTTATGATTTGCTCCGTGCGGCTCCTGCGGACATGAAGGTGCATTTGGAGGAGTCCATCAAGCGTTGGCAGGTGCAGAGGCTGACGCACCATCTGCCGGTGCAGGAGGCCACTCATGATGTTTGGGAGCGTGCGCTTCGTCTCGGCCTTCGTGATTTGAGGCCAGTGCAGTTCGGAGCGCTGCGCGGGCTGTGGGCCGACCGCTACCCCGCGCCTGCGCGTCTCGCCGCTTGGGGTAAGAACATTCGCCCACACTGCGCTGCCTGCCAGTCAAATGACGGATCCTACGGGCACGTGCGGAGCGATTGTCTTGCTCTGCTGCACCCCGACGAGAGCGAACTGGCGGGTGTTTTCGAGGTTCCCTGCGAGAGACGCTTCTCATCGGGATGCTTTTCGAGCTATTGGACACCATCCCCTGTCGGATCCCGATTTTGAAGGCCTGTATTTATGCCGTGGCATTCCGCAGCTGTCTATCCAGCTTCCATCTCCACCTGACGTCTCTGAGGTCTGGGAGTGGGGGGGCGTCGGGGGCGACCGGGGCCCCGTGGTCTTTGGGGATGGAAGCGCCCAGGGCCCAGCGGCGCCTGAAGTTAGGCGTGCAGGTTGGGCAATCGTTCAGCTCAGCGAGGAGCTCCTTCCTGTGCGGGCGGTCTATGGTTCCCTGGAGGGTGCGGTCCAGACTGTAGGCAGAGCTGAGCGAACCGCACTTCTGCAGGCAATAAAAAAGGCACCCGACCATGCAGGCTTCTGTTTCTGACCTGTTGCCCCTGGTCCAAGAGGGTCAATCCTGGGATGCTGAGCTGGCGCGCGGCATGAAAAAGTATGCTGCCATCTGGGGGGGTGTTTTTTCTGCCGCAGGCCACGCGCAGGCCTCCTGAGTACCCTCCCCCCACCTTCGTTTGGACCCCCGCTCGCCTCACTCTAGAGCAGGTTCTAGAAAGAAGACTGGATCCGATCGCCTGGATCGGCAATGCATGGGCCGACCTGTTTGCGAAATTAGCTTCGACCCGCGCGATGATTGCTCGGGCGATGGCGGAGGCGGTCGCGGGGGAGCTCAAGTTTCATCGTTCCACAATCGAGTGCATCTCTTGGGCTGCCGCCAGGCTCGCGAGGCTGAGGCGCTGGACGGACGTGCAGCCTCCTCCAGGTGTCGCTCGGCAGCAGCCCCCCCCCCCCCGAGGCTCAGTCTTCATGGGCGCACCTGTTATCTTGACGAGGCCTTGGGCGAGGTGCGTTGCGTGTCATGCTTTGCTGGGGCTTGGACACCCAGCGCGCTGATCCATTTGTGTAACGGCCCCTCCAAGTTTTGCCGACCCACCGCCCTCGCGGCCTTGAAGGGCCAGGAGTGGCGTCGTGTTCGTGTTCGGGCGAGGCCTGTGAAGGCTGCTGCGGTGGCTGAGGCCGACCAGGCCCCCGTGGCTGCTGGCCTGCCCCCGCCGCCCCCCGCTCCTGGAAATTCCGCGGGGGGCGAGGGTGAGGCGGCCATCCGTGAATTTGCTGAGCGTGGTCACACGATTGAAAAGGTACGGTCGTGTTATGATATGCTTTTTGTGTGCTGGTTTTGTGGTGTTACCGCATGGAGTCCCGCGGTCGTTCCAGGCCACTTGTCTGGGGGCGTCCAAAGTGCCGTCTACGAGGGACAAGCAGCTTCGGAAGCTCTCGAAGGCCTCGAGAGGCCTCCATCCGACCACGGGTGAGAGTCTCGAGGGGCCTCGCCCTGCTGCCCCCTCTGCGCCGGCTCCCCCCTGCCCATGTCACTGCTCTGTGCCGAGGGCCCTCCGAGTTGAGGAGGCCACTCTGTCGGGGGCGGGGGAGGCTCTGGTGGTGCGGGCGGGGGGGGACTCGCGAGGGAAGGAGAGCTCTGATGATTCTGACTAATTAATGAGATCGGCCATGACGACGGGTGTCCCGTGGTCTCGGCCGATGCCGTTGCCGCCACTGGGGGCAGCCATCGCCTCGGCCTGCGGGCGTCCGTTACCCTGCGGACGCTCTCCAGTCGGTGCCCACCTCCTCCTCCTCCTCCTCCTCCTCCTCCTCCTCCTC